CAAAGTGACTGATTTTACCACAAATACCTTCAGGCCACATGAGATCTTTCATGGAATCTACTCACCGAATGTCTATTGTGTGTGGTTCCAAATAACAGGGAACCCTGGATGGTTATAATGCTGTGGTTTGCTTGCTGAATTCTGTGTAGTGTGGGCAGAATCAGAAGAAGAGGTGGAAAGGCATACATTAGGCCAGGGCTAGTGTGTTTTGTTCCAGACAGCTGTTCACAGGACCATGCTAGACAATGAGGATTTGGAATCAGCAAAGAGGTCCAACTGTGCCCTGCCAATTTTCTTCCCCAATCTGCTGCACTTCCTATGGGGGCAACACCACTCTCCTGGGTATTGTCACTGTATCCACTGCACCATTGTGCTGTCCTGGTAGGTAAGCTGCTCTCATTGAGACTAGCTATGGGGTTAGAATTGTGTCATAATTCCAAATATATAAGAATAGAAATAGATTATAGATCCACAAATAAATGTAGCGAGATTCACAAAAATGAATTAAATTCACAAATAAATAAAATTAGATTTGCAAAAAAAAATTACAAATATGTCTTTATGTCACAAACACAACTCCACCTGGCATTCATTTGCGGATTTTCAAACATTCCTAGCGTCAAGAGTGCACGCAAATAGGTGGACTCCACCCACTGTCTACTCAAGTCAATCAGATAACAGCCAATCGTAGCACGTTCTCACTCCAAACAATCATGTTTTGGTTTACAATCAGGGTGGGAACAGTCATATTGCGCCGAACTCGCATATTATAAAGGCTTACTCCGTGGATTTTATTTTGTATTTAAGCGATAATATGCCTCTCCGTTCAAACATGTCCACTTCGCTTGATCCGGTTATTCAGGGATGAGAGTGCCAAAAGAGCCACGGCAGACAGAGTATTATACAGAACGAAGGGTGCAGTATCTGCAGAGGCAAAGGCATCAGCAGAAAACAGAAGTGGCGGTTGTTTCACGGACTGTACGTACATGTTTATCAGAACAGAGGAAGAACAAAAGATATCACGAGGTCAGCACGGAAAATGCCAGCATATATTCATAATATATCACACTTTAACGCTTAAATACAAAATAAAATGTTATAATAAACATTGTAATGTGCCAAATATCTCATATGTGCTCTATCTTTCATGGTAAATATAACGAATGGATAGTAAACGGACTGTAACATGAAGAAACCGCGGAGTAAGCCTTTAATGTGCTGACTGATTGGTGGTAATGGCTATGAAAACTGGGAACTTTTAAGATTTCTCCCACTAATAACAACATGGGAGACTTAAATGCTTTTGACTGACATCCTAGAACTAGTGACATCCTTCAGATTCACTGACCATACTGCTGATTTCCATGGGGCTAAAATGTAAGCGCACAGAGGTTTGCTTTTGAAAGTATTTCCTCATTTTGTATTGCGTCCCAAACACCACTACATTGGACAACTAATAAGGATGTTTGGGCCACTTAGAGATGTCTGGACCATGCATTTTTAAGGCAAGCATGAGTTCTTCAAACAAATCATTCGTGAGACAAAAATAATTCAGAAATGTCTCTCAAACTCTAGCAGTCCAACATCAAAGAGTGATAGCATACCACATGGACTTATCTTCTTTTTCAAACCTTCTGTCCAGATGACATCTACACTGATTTCATCTTTTCCTGAGAGTGTACAGAACTTATTTCAGCAGAATTTTGCTACCCAAAGCACTGTCCTTGTTACATCTTCAGTGTGCATTGATAGCATCGAATACAGTCCAGATATGGTTGTATCTGCTGGTGCAAGTTCATGTCTGCCTAATTTTAGGCAAATTGTAAAAATTGTTTTCATCAACACTGATAGTTTGTCTGTATGCAAACAACATACAGCATGGTACATAGAGCATCTACGTTCCTACTGTACAGGCATCTACTGTAAACTGTACAGGCATGTACCAGAAATGTTAGTCACTAGGCTTTCTGAACTGAACTGGCAACCTACAAAATTCAGGGCAGGACATTTGTTACAGTGAAACATTTCATTTTGTGCTAAATTGAACATTTAATAATGAAAACTCTAGTGTCAAATTCATTGATTTAATTGATTTTCTCATTGTTAGGTCCACAGGACACAGTGGAGACAAGAACTATACTTAGAGTGATAGTGAGTAAAATGACATCCGGAAAATCACGCTTCACAGAAAACCATAAACCTTGGACTCATTGCTGGATCAATTTGAGGAGAAGATAGGTCTTCCACTCTGATGAAGACTCTGGTTTTAACAACACACTGATCAACCTCACTGACATTGCAGATTTACCCGAGAGGTCCAACTAAAAGTTAATCTCTCATGTGACATCTCCTACACCAAGCATAGCTGACACAGACATTATATCTTTGTTCTCTGAAGAAGGGTCATCTCATGTACATTTGAAATTCTCAATTTTCCAGTAGATATTGAGTACAGACTGCACCAAGTAAACTTTCTATATATGAAAGACAAGACATATATGCATGTTCCCAAGTTATTTTCTGACTAATTTGATATTCCTTTCTATGTTATAAATTTTTTTTCAGAGCACTGACATCACTGTTAAACACACAGTAGTTCTCAGTGGCTTTCTTCTCATTCTTGGAGAAGATACCACAGACGTTTTTTTAAAACACGTTTGGCAAGTATCCTATATTTCATTCCAAACAATAATGTCTATACACACATAATCACAAAGGCATGCCTCATTCAACAATGTATACTTAACTCTCTTAGCTTGGACCAGAAGCACAAACTCTGCTTTTGTGAAGTTTTTTTTTTTAGTTTCTTTTTGAACTCAGGTCCTTCTGCATTTTGTTGTATGCAAGTTCTGCCTTCATTGTACAGTTCATTGTTTGAATATAAATTTCACATGATATTTTGATTCACAACTTTTATTTAAGTCCATTAGTTGTACATAAAGAAGGTGATTGTCCTGAATCATTAAATGACACATACATTTGTGTCATTGGTTTGGATTTTTAATGCAAGTAGGATTTTAATATTGCCGTTTTTTATGAGAACTGTGACTGTGATTCTGACCGTTATACCTGAAGACAACCAGGATTCTTCAAAAGCACTACATTTGGAGGCTTCGCACAGAGCAATTATTCTAGAAGGAGCCATAGCATTGGATGATCTCTTTCCCTTGGACACAAATCCCTGAAACCAAAACTACAGTCACGTAAAAACCTTCTGCTGATGTACGTCAATGCTGTGTGAGATTGTGTTAAGGTTGTGGTTGCACAAAAGTCGAGATTCTTGGGTGCTACTTTTTAATTGGTCACCTGTCAACCTTTGTTGAAAATGTTTTTGTAGTTTTAGAACACTGTTATTTTGTGAGAAAAATGTTAAAAATTAAGTGTTACATTAAGGTAACGTTGATATTTTACAAGGGCAACTATTCATTTAGTTTCAGGTCAAAGATTGTGGTTGGTTGTTTTTAGTTGCAATGCACATTTGAGTTGTGCAAAGAATTGTTAATGTCACATTGAAGAATAATGTTTGGCATTTAGGAATGCCTGAATTGCAGTCTTTGGTACATTGTAGTGATTTAAACAATTGAAGAGAAATAAATAATCTTTTGCCTGAGTTCAGTTGTTTTTTGTCTTAACTTAATTTTTGTAGTTCAGCTTACTTCAAAATTTTAAGGCAATCGGTTTCCTAATGTTTCCTTATTAGTGTTCACGTTACTAGGAAGTTAACCAAAAAATGATTGTGAGTCATCAGTACTTAATTATACTTGATGAACAAGTTTTCTATACAAGTTTAATTAAGTTTTGCAAACTAAAAATTAATACGCTATTTTACTAGGAAATTTTAAGGCAATCAGTTTCCTCACTTTTTCTAAGTAAAGTCAGCTTATTACATTTTACAGTGTTTGGGTGGTACATTATTAATAAAGAATAATAACAATGACTTATTAAGTTATCTGAAGGCTTGGAGTTCTTTATTAGCTTGACTTTGGTTTTGATCTGAGAGATGGCAAACATTGGTTCAATAGAATAACGCTTATCGAGCATAAATCACCAAACACAAATTACAAGCAAATAAAATGGTAGTGGATGTTTTGTATGAGTGGATATTTAGATCTGTGTTGGTATGGGCAAACATTATCAGCTAAACTAAGCTATACATTAAGTTTAATGCAGAGATCAAACAGGATGGCATGCATAGGAGCTTGCGGAGATACGAGGAGAGAAAGAGAAACAAAAATTAAAGTGGTACTTTGTATAGGCCTAACAGTTTATATACAGTTGGTTCCAAATGTCTGAGACCACACTGAAAATCTAGGATTTTTTATGTAAAATTGGAAATAAACAGAAGGTTTTTAGAATTTTCTAATATTTAAAACAAAAAATATAAATGTTCAATATCTTAAATAAATTAATATTCAATATTCTAGGTCCAAATTCAAATGTAAACAAATTTGCGATGTTGACCATGTTAACTTCTTTTGTACAAAAGGTCATCACACCTAATCTCTTCTATTTATGCATGATCTCTTCTATTTATGTATGATCTATGCATATATTTGATCTGAAATGGATCATAAGGTTTTGCACAAACTTCTGAAGTCCACACCAGATTAAAGCACAAAAGAGACATACCAAATACTAAGAAAATCTGAAATTCATGTAAATATGAGAAAAGAGTCAGTCTACTTTTCATTCAAGTTGGCAATAATATAATTTGTAATGAAAATTGTTGTATTAGAAAAAAATGCAAAATAGAAGCATTTTCACTGGTGGTCTCAGACTTTTAGACCCCACTGTACATCATAAGTAACAGCATGCAGTAACAGGTCAAATTCTGGTTAATAAATAATAAATCACGTTACTAGAAACAGAAAACGAACTACACTGTATTTCCTATAGTTATTTAAGCCCAGCTGCTCAGTCTCACTTTGAGTTGATCTTGCTTATGTGACCAGTCTTCTTTTTTTTTTTTCTTTCTCATTTAATCTGCATTGTGTGGAGGGTCCCTGGAGGACTAGTGGTTAGGCCAGGTGCTATCACTGCTGCGGCCTGGGTTTGATTCCCAGCCAGGGAACCAGCCCCATCCACTGAGGTTGCACATGACAGTGCACTCCCAGTGCCGGTCCCTAGCCCGAATAAAGTTGGGGAGGGTTGCGTCAGGAAGGACATCTGGCATCAAAACTGTGGCCACCCCTAACGGGATGGGATGAATGAGACCGGACAATATGAATCACTCAGGCCACTTCTTATTCTGCATGAATAATAAGACAAATGATCAAAAAAAAATCTTGAATCTGTGGCCCACAAAAATAATATCAACCTCTCAAATACATTTTACAATTTTCATATAATTTCCTATATGATCAAATGAATAATATTTAACATATTTTTCCCAAATAAAAAAAAATTACATACATTCTAAACAATATTGACAGAAACATGAATAAGAGAACATACCTGTATGAATTAAAAGACAAATGACCTTCTTCCACAATATTAACATCAAACTGCCAGTGAAAGGGATTATTTTAGCCACGGAACTTGCATACACATGCTTAACGAAGTCTCTCTAAGATTAAATTGAATTTTTAGTACAATTTTTTATTTTTTTTATTTATTTTTTTTTTACAATAAACAAAACCCATTTAAAACTTTTAGGCAGAGCTTCAGCACAACTCACCTCTCCACTTCCCGTGAAGTGAAGGAGAGCAACGAGATCTGGAACATAACTTAACTGTCACTTAAAGGAGCCATGCTCCATATCTGATAATGCAGCAAGCATGACAAAAAGAATGCATGACTATATGAACATAACATCAAATAGAAGAAATTAATATACTAAAAGAATAATTTCAAGAATAAAAAATAATTTATAATATCAAAGGAAGACATTTTGATTGAACTTAAAGTAAAATAACACCCGTTATATTCACCTCCCATAATTTCACCAAAATTCTACATGTGCCTGAAGAGGATTTCTACTACTCAATTCAATTCAACTTTATTTGTATAGCACATTGTCACAAAGCAGCTTTCCAAAAATAAATGGATTCAAAAATTATATTGTAAATATGTGAATTTATCCTAATGAGCAAACCAGAGGCAACGGTGGCAAGGAAAAACTCCCTGAGACAATACGAGGAAGAAACCTTGAGAGGAACCAGGCTCAAAAGGGAACCCATCCTCATCTGGGGGCAATGGATAGTGCAATTATAAATAAATCCCTATTATTGTGTACTATATGGACAAATAGTGCAAATGTGCGACCAGTAAATTCATCACAGTTTTCGCAAGAAGTCCGGTTGGTTAAAATTTATCCACTGTCCATTGATGGAGTGCTGAGTATGAAGGTGCTCATGGCAACTGCAGCCCCAACGCCATCACAGCAATCGCAGTCCCAAGCCATCACAGTACAGCTCCCCATATGAGATCCCCAACCATCTCCCCAGCCCCTAGGTGGAACCATCCCCAGCAATCCAAACAGTTCTTCAGGTCGTCCATATGGGGCCACCCCCAGCAGCAGTGAGCGAACTCATCCGATGAGAACTCCAACCAGACGTAGGGCATCAGGGTGGGTCAGGCAGGTCTGGAGAGCAGAAGGGGTCAGGATCACTGGCATCTCAGAAGTAGCATGTGTAGCTCGACAGAGAGATGGAGAGAGAGGGAGAGATTGTTAGGTAAGCTTTTGTCCTCTAATGGTTAAGGACAATGTACTCTGCCTGCAGAGTGCAAGCAGGGGCTCCGGCAAAAACTAGCAATGACAGCATGACTAAAAGGGAGAGCCAGAAGCTAACACAGATATGAGGGCACCCTGGGACATAAGGCAGCCAGCCACTCCACCGTTGACAAACCTGAGTGAACGCGTGAGAGTGGGGGACGACAGCATCCAAACATCCCAGTTTACCACAACACTCTACTAACGAGCCACAATGTGAACCAAAGAAAAATTCCTTAGTTAAAGCAATGATAGCTATCTGCTTGACAGATACAGAGAAATTTGAGGGTGATCAGGCTCCAAAAACTCCTAATAAAGTATGTTGCCAAGTACACCACTTAACTACACTTAACCTTTGTATCAAATCCTCACTCACATAATTCTTATGTCACTTAAAATAAAGAATTGTTCCCAAAAAGAAAGGAAAAGAAATAGGAAGTAAACTCTCATATCCAGCCATGAAAATTAAAACAGACTTATAAGGGACTGAGACATTTTCTGGAACCTGTTGAACAAGTTTGGCTCTTGGGCCATAGTCTCTATTAGACTATTCAAATTCAAATTCAAATTCAGTTTTATTTGTATAGCGCTTTTAACAATGGACATTGTCACAAAGCAGCTTTACAGAAATAAATGGATTAACAAAAAATATATTATAAATATTTGAATTTATCACTGTGAATTTATCCCTAATGAGCAAGCCAGTGGCGACGGTGGCAAGGAAAAACTCCCTGAGATGATATGAGG